AAAAAAATTGAATTAAAAACAATGCCGTTAGAACAGTATAATACAAAGAAAAGTTATATATTGTGCCCCCCCACGAAAATGTAAGGCCCCCAGTGCCCCCCCCCCGCTGAAAAAATCCTAGCTACGCCACTGGTACGTGCGTGCGTGCGTCTGTCTGTGTGTTGTGCATATTTGTGTGTGTACGTGCGTGCGTGCGCGCACACGCGTATTTTATATAGCATCTTACATATTTTAGTTTTTAGGATTCAAACACTTTTGTAGATCGCATTGAAAACTGACGGCCCCGATTTAACGCACGCACAAACTCCGGACATTACATGACACTGTTCTGCTAGCATAATGAATGATGATTAATGACCATTAATTACAAACTGCCGTCATTGTTAATAGACCGGGAGTGAATGCACTGTTAATATATAATCTAGGTCCGTGATTAAAATTACTGCGGCTGTAGATCAATGAATTGACGAAGTCTGTACATATAATGTCATGGTCCTATACGTAGTAGTTTATTTTATACACAAAGTATACTTTTCGGCGACAGTTGTTCTTATTTGTTCATCACATGCAGATATGCCAACACATATTTGAAGCAATCTGTAGTTTCCGGCCATCAAATTAGTAGTTCGAGGGTCACGTAGTGACCCGAGTTTGCTAGGGGGGTCCGGCATGCCCCCCGGGAAATTTTTTTGATTCTGAGATACAATTTCCTGCATTCTAAGGGTCAAATTTACAATAAATTGACAAAAAATGACAATAATTGACAACAACAAATTTTTTTTTATCACAGTGAAATTCGTAGTTTGATACAAACTGGTCGTAGTGGTGCAAAAGGAATAGAAATTCGTATAAAATACGAATAAATCGTAGTGGTTGTGATATCCTTCATTCAATTGCAACGTATACTACATTCAACAGCAACGTATCCTACATTCCATCGCAACGTATATTACATTCAATTGCAACATATCCTACATTCCATTGCAACATATCCTACGTTCAATTGCAACATATCGTACATTCCATTGCAACATATCCTACATTCAATCACAAGATATCGTACATTCCATTGCAACATATCCTACATTCCATCGCAACGTATATTACATTCAATTGCAACATATACTACATTCCATTGCAACATATCCTACATTCCATTGCAACATATCCTACATTCCATTGCAACATATCCTACATTCCATTGCAACATATCCTATATTCAATCACAAC